ACAGCTCATACTAGCTGACAGCCCAGAGGGTGAAGAAGGATGTACTCATAACCCAGGCCTTGGGGACCAGCCTGGACATTGGGCTTGTGGGACTCCATGGCAGATTCATGTCCCCACACTGTCCCCCCACCCAGCTCCCTGATGAAGAGATCAAGCTGTGGTGGATGGTCCCTTCCCAGTATGGTTGCCTACACCTCCTCCATCTCCTCCGCTCTTCAGTAAGTAACACCGGGACTTGAGCAGAACTGCTGTGCTCGGTTCCCGGCTGTTACAACAGCAGAGGCGAGCATCTGCACAGATGTCCTTTACTGACAGCACAGTAAGAGCCAAGGTCAAACTTACTTGCCTCCGAAGCCCCTCCCACACATCTGTACTCCCCTGGCAGGAGGCAGAGCTGCGTCTAAGAAGCAGGATGGCACTGTGGTTCCCAGGGAGCCACAGAGGCCAGGGCCACACATAAAGACGGCTCACATTGTCACAAGGAATACACACTGTGGGTGTAGGAGATGTCACCATCGCCACATCACTGCAGGGAGTGTGTAAGTGCACAGCTTGCTGATCAGGAAGGCCTAACCACACAGCACAGGCCCTGAGCAGCCTGAGGGAGCTATTCCGTGCACACACAGAACTGTGACCGGAACCTAGCAGGCTCTAATTCCTGTCATGCCAAGCGCTCACAACTGCCAAACGTTCTCTAAAAGTTGCACATGCCTGGGGGAAAAATGAATCAATATTTCAACTTTTGATAAAAGTTTGAGACCTTTCCTGCCTGGCACCGTCCTCTTCGATGCCTGGGGGGCAGATAATTGGTTTTCTGCTACAGCGAAGGAGTGGTGACCTGTTTTCTAACTGACAAGGTGACTGGACACAAAGGGAAGATCAGATCTGGGGGAACCATCAAGAACCATCAAGGCGTTGGGAGCTCAGCCCTTCACCGCACGGTAACTTCGTGCTAATCGCTGCAACTGTGGTGGAGAAGGGATTGATGGGTAAATCTGCCTGACGGCTGGGGCCTCCGAGGAGATTATTCTAATCCTCAGATGATGAAGTAAAGTTTACAGAAAGCAGAACTGTCAGGGAAAGTCTGACAAGAAGAAGGCCACAGCAACAGGGAGTGCCTCCCTGCTCATGCTCATGCAGTGCCACAGGGACACCATGAAGATGTCGTCAGCAGGGGCTGGGGTGGGGGCAGCTAAGGAGCCAATCTGGGGCGGAGCTTCCAGTTCCTTTTCCTCTGGAGTCCCTGCAGGAATGTTTTCACTGAAGCCTTTTAAAGACTTTCAAACATGTCTGTCGTCACACCAGATGGTTTCTGTTTCCATGGCCAACCCTGTGACACAGGGGTGATGAGGTAGAGAGCCAAAATGTGAAAGCAAGAAACAAACGCCATGTTCACCAACAATGCAGGGAAGCTCACCAACCTCTACGAAAGGATCCAACTGGAGCCTGACTGTTCTGGATCCTTCCATAGCTTCCACAGCTCTGTGGCTTGAAACGCAAAGTGTTACTTCCTGGTCATATGTTAAACACAACACAACACACACACACACACACACACACACACACACACACACACACACCATCCCCTGACAGAAGTGTTCTCCTATCTGAGTAGAAGTTGGAAGATGTGAAGTAGGATCCAAAACAGATCCTAAACACTTCAAAGTCTATGTTGGATCAGAACAGGGAGTCACTTTCCAGGGGCTGAGCTGAGCTGCCTCCCAGGAGCTGAGCTGACTTCACCTCCATTGCCTCCAAAGGTCTCTGAGGGAACAGACACGGCTTGGTCTGGACACGGTGACAAGCAGGTGCCTGCTGCACTTCATTGATCTTCCCTTTGTAAGAGAAACACTAAAAACCAACACATACAGGACATTCTATGACGCACTTGGTATCACAGCTGTCAAAAGGACCACTACAGAGAAGATGAGCCCTACCATGTCAGTCCTAACTACTAGAAGACCATGAAGAACCCTAGTCACTGTGGTCCCAGAAATCAGAAGACCCCTACAAAGGACCTCACCAAGCAAGAGAAAGAAAATACAGTGAATCTGGTGAAGTTCTGACTGTGTCGTGTGATGTTTTGAATGGACAGCAAGTCTTGATTGTACATCTCATTTTAGTTCCACCACTGATGAGCTGCGCCCCTCCTGCTACTCAGTGCCTCCATTTCCTCATCTGAGAAACAGGATGGAGCATTCTGAGTTTACAATGGGCTCCTGCCTGGCTCATAGCTTCCACTTCACTAAGGGTGAACTGTGGATACAGTCAGTGCTTTGTGTGGAGGAAGGAACAAACATAAATGATGAGACGTTTTTAAAGACCAAAAATCTGAAGGGTAAGAGTACTTGCTGCTCATGAAGAGAACCCAGGTTTAGATCCCAGCAGCCACTTCAGGGAGCTCACAACTACCTGTAACTCCAGCTCCAGATACAGTCTTCCAATGTCACACACACACACACACACACACACACACACACACACACACACACAACTTTAAAATAAAAAATGAAAATCTTTTTCTAAAATAACATAATTAATTAGCTAGTTACCCAGACTAGAGTGGTATTCAGGCAAGCATCAAAAAGGTCAGTGGAAGAGAAGAGAAGAGATGATCCCAAATCATCACGCACATGCTTTAAAGTACAATTTACAAAGTATAAACTAATTAGACATGGGCTTTCAGCAAATAATTTTAGTAAACTGGCTAAGCATCTTGAAGAAACTAATTAAGAGTGTCACTATTTGCTATATTCAAAACAAATCCAGATGGATTAAAAATATATTTTTAACAAGCTCATAGAAGAATAAACATATAGGTAAAATGCTGTATTAATTTGGATCAGGACAGAGCTTTTCTGTCAATAAAAAGGAAAAAGAAAGAAAGAATCAATATGAAGAACAGAAAAGTAGAATCGAAAAATTAAAAGGTCATTTGCTTTAAGAAGTATCTGTAGGGGCTGGAGAGAGGGCTCAACAGTGGAGAGCACTGGCTGATCTTGCAGAGGACCTGTGGCTCCCAGCACCACAAGGTGACTCAGGACTGTCTACAGTTCCAGTTGCAGAGGACTAGACATCCTCTCTTAGCCTCTGAGGACACTGCACACATACAGCAAACAGACACACAAGCAGGCAAAACACCCAGACACATCAAATCGAAGAGGCAACGAAAGGTCTAGTTACATCAAAACACAAAACCTGGAAAGAGGGCTGAACCACCAAGTTAGATTCTAAAACACTCTGTAAGTTACCAAAAGTATGTACGTCCATCATGCCTCAAGATGCAGACCACAGGCACATTTCTACTGTGCATACTCAGTGCTAGCAGATGTGCGGCGTGATGAACTGTTTCCCATGCATGGCCCCCGAGGCCTGGGGCAGCCCCCAACCCTTCTTACCCAGCCTTCACCTTCAGACCCCTCCCCAGGAAGCCATCACTGCTGGAGGTAATAGGATGTGCTATGACTCTTCATGGGGAGATATGAACCAGTGTCTATGTAGCTCAGATGGAGCATCAGACACAGACCAAGATAATTACTCAACTTAAGTCCAGTTTGGTGGCCTGAGTTTACAGTCCTAATTATTACAGACGCATGGGGTGACTGTAAAACTATGAGCAGTTCCTATTTTCTTTTTCCATTAAAAACAAGAGGCAAACTGTTGACTTGGTCAGCAAGCACACAGGAGCTCTTCCATAAGTCTGAAGCCAGACACCAAGCATGGGGCACTCCATCTCCTCCCAGGATTCTGCTTGTCTGAGCAAAAATCAATTCTTTGTATGGATCCTACGCCCAAAGCCAGACTCACTCAGAATGTCATCAGACACTTCCCACCGCTGTCTGAATATGAGAGGAAGGCATGGGTCCCGTGGGAAATAAGCAAAAAGATGCATCATTCTCTGCCTGCTCCCAGCTGCTAGCAACAGAGAAGCCTCCACAGCCCAGCCCAGAAATGGGGGTTCATTCCCAGAGGAAGTGAGGAAAGGAGGAGGAGAGGAGGCAGAGGAGCCCTCATTGGGATCCTAGGAGCAGCAGTTCCACATCAGCACAGACCTCAGGATCCCAGGCCTCTGAAGATGGAGGCTGACCAATCCCTCAGCAGCTCTAGGCTTCAGCTAAATGGTACATAGCACATGACATTAAGCTCTGTGCACCACAGAGCAATTTAGAGTATCCACAGG